GGATAAAGTAAAAGACATAATATTTAATATTAAAGGCAAAGTAGAAAAGTTACAACATTTAAACAAATTCAAGCATAAATTAATATGAAGGGTGGAGAAATTTTCAAGATTTTTGGGAAACTATAAATGACTAAATCTAAGACTCATGAATAGGATAATTTCATTCTGAAAATATAGAATACATTCCCAGCAAAACCATAGCATAAAATCCTCCAAATGTGATAAAAAAATGGTAATTCAGATACAGGAGACATATAGACCATCAAACAGACAAGATCAAACATTGGCTGACATTTGTCTGTGGCAGTCCTGGTGAAAGGGGATGGGTGTATTCTGGGCTAGGGGACATCAAGTGATCCTATTGACAATGGGTAGAACATTAGTTATTTCCTTTGGAACATTAGATAACTTTTTCCTTGAATGGCTCTTTCCTGGGTGGTGCCTGTTAAGCCTGTTATGGCTGAGCCCTACATTTCCCCCCTTCACAAGTACCAATGACAGGCCCAGGAGTTTAAAGATAGTATTGGGACCTAAGAACCATTAGCTAACAGATTTTTCTAGGGCAGTGACCATCCTCTGTTACCAGGTTTTGTAACTCTGATCTTTGAGTGCAACCAAATTATAATACTAAATATCTTCTTTGCTTTTGTGGTTCTGCATAAAGAACCGAAGTGTCTTATCTTGTTGTAGAGTCATTTTAGTTAAATCCATTAATTGATAATTCTGGACCTATTTTTCTGGTATGTCAATGGGCATTATTAGCTATTTTGTACCCCATACCAGGGAATTCCCCTTTGTCTCAGCATTTCAACTTATTTTGGACAGAGAGCATGGGCTTATGTGTTCATTTCTGTAACTACTTCAAGCTGGCATTGGGGCATTATTATCAGGACCCAAGAAAGCTGAAAGGCTAGTCAAAGGTAAGGAGGGAATTCAGGCAATGGGGCATTTATTAGAAGCATTTGGTTCACTGACTGCACTACAGAGACAGGGAACTTTCACATAAGCTGGTCTGGTCCACATCAGCTTCAGCAAGTCCAGGACTCAAAGTCATTTGGAGCAGATTGTAGTCAGCAGCTGATTCTTGGATGTGTCTGTCAGCCAAGTGGAAACCTGTTGAGTCAAGTTTGAACTAGGAATAGAAGTTAAACTTTATGAGCTTAAAGTTTTACATTTGGAATTAAAGTATTACATTTGGAACTTTCAGGCCCACAGTCTTAGTAAGTGAGAAGTGGAGGAGTCCCAAAACAAGGAGAGAGAAAGATATCATCCTCAGCAATAGACAGGTGGGGAAAACTTAAGCTAAATTTATCTAGAATCCTTTTGACCTATGAGAAATGGATCCAGGTTTTTCTTGAAGCCTATATGGATTTTTATTTTACAAAAGGACATAAAAGTTTTAGATGTATTATTATCATCAATCTATACTGAAATCCATATGTAGAAATAGCAGGTAATGGGTATTTGTAAAACAGCAAGAGTAGACTCATACCTTTGAGTCCTAGAAAAAACTACAGATTTGGGTTAGAAGCATGTACATTTTTCTTCTGTCCTGAGAGCCAGGTATTGGTTGGACAGAGATATCTTTGGCCTGATGAGAAACATTTTTAAGTTTGCATTTAAATGGCAACCAAAATAAATCCAAAATCGTGTGCTTGTAACTGAGCAGTAAGTAGTCATTGCTCTACTAGCCTATCAGAACTCTATTAAATGCTAAACTCTGAACTTTTATACCATAGATAAGAATAAATTCCACCTGAGTGTACCAAGCAGCTTCTGAATCTATTAAAAATGACAGAGACCAGTATATACCCAGTTAGCCATACCCAAGTCTCCATAGCATTGGAGGCAGAAGTATTAAAACAGAAGTCTTCACCAGGCACATAATGTGAGAGTCTTTTCTGTGAAGGAACATGGGTGCTGACTGGGTGGTCTCTGTTGAGCCTGCTATGGTTGGGCCCTAAATTTTCTTCCTCTCCCAAGCATAGGTGTGTTTTACACTTCTGCTTCAATACATTTCCATAATACTGTAGAAACAAATTATCCCCAGTGAACTGTAGGCACATGATGGAGATCACCTCTGGACCCCAGGAGCAAGGTTTCTCCTGCAATCAAGCATTTTCTTTTCTTTTCTTTTTGTTTATTTTTATTTTATTAGATGCAAGTATTATTTTTTTTAAAAAATTTACTCATTTTACATACCAACCACAGTTCTGCCTCCCTCCCCTCTTCCCGCTTCCCCCACCTCCTCCTCATCCCCACATCTGCTGTGGGACAGTGGTGTGTACCCCGTCAGTTGCATTTTAAATAAACATGATTGGCCAGTAGCCAGGCATGAAGTATAGATGGGGTGACCAGATTGGAAGTAGAGGCAGGTAAACAAGAATTTTGGGAAGAAAGAAGTTTCAGAGCAATCACCCAGATGCAGAGGAAACAAAATGTGACTGCCTCGCCGAATAAGGTACTGAGCCATGTGGCTAATATAGACAAGATTAATGGGCTAATATAAGATGTAAGAATTACTTAATAAGAAGAGCCTGAGCTACTAGGCTAACCAGTTTATAATTTATGTAGACCTCTGTGTATTCCTTTGGAACTGAGTGACTGAAGGACAGGGTGGGACAGAAACCTTAGTCAACACAATCCACTCCTCAGAGTTGAGGCAGGACCAAGCCCCTTCCCCCTGCATCAGTGCTGAGCAAGGCATCCCTCCATATGGAATGGGCTCCAAAATCTATACACCAGGGATAGATCCTGGTCCCATGGTCAGGGACCTTACAAACGCCCAACCTACACAACTGCTATCCACTTTCAGAGGGCCTAGTTTGGTCCCACGCAGGTTCCCCAGCTGTCAGTCTGGGGTCAATGAGTTTCCACTAGCTTGGGTCAGCTGTCCCTGTGGATTTCCCCATCATGATCTTGACCCCTTGCTCATATAATCCTTCCTTCCTCTCTTCCTCTGGACTTCAGGAGCTCAACCCAGTGCTTGGCTGGCTATCTCTGCACCTGCTTCCATCAGTTACTGGATGAAGTTTCTATTTCAGTTTAGAATAGTCACCAATCTGATTACAGGCAAAGGCCAATTCAGGTACCCTCTTCACTATTGCTAAGAGTCTTAGCTGGGTTCATCTTTGTGGATTCCTGGGTGTTTCCCCGGCACCAGGTTTCTCCCTAACCCCATAATTGCTCTCTCTATCTAGATGAATGTATGTGACAGTTCTGTGGCTTGGGCGGTCTATGGTCCAACTGGCAACGGGACTAGGATTTATCCCTAGTGCATTGAGTGACTTTTTGGAGCACATTCTCTATGGACGGATACCTTTCTCAGTCTAGATACAGGGGGTGGGGGCTTAGGCCTGCCTTAACTTGGTATGTCAGACTTTATTGACTCCCCATGGGAGGACTTACCTTTTCTGAGTAGTGGATAGGGGGTTGGGTGGGGGTAATATATGAAGGTGGTAAGGGGGATGAGGAGAATGAGAGGGAGGGTGAACTGTGGTTGGTATGCAAAATGAAGAAAGATCTTTTAAATAAAAAAATTTTGAAAAGAAAAATTAAGTAAGTGTTAAAATGAAAAAATATACCTCTTTTATTGCTCTCCCTCTCTGTCCCTCCCTCAACTCGACCATCCTGTTCCCTCATGTTCTCATCATCCCTTCTCCCCTGTTGCTCACCCCCTTACGCATCCTGTTTACCCAGAATATTTTAACTATTTTCCCCTCCTAGGGTGGGGTCCTTCTTTTTACCTAGCTTCTCTGGGACTGTGGATTGCAGCCTAGATATCCTTTGCTTTACATCTAATATCCACTTATGAGTGAGTACATACTGTGTTTGTCTTTCTGGGTCTGGCTTACCTCACTCAGGATTTTTTTTTCTAGTGCCATCCATTTGCCTGTAAATTTCAAGATGTCACCATTTCCTACAGCTGAGTAATACTCCATTGTGTAAATGTACCACATTTTCTTTATCCATTCTTCTGTAACCAGACATTTCAAGTTCATACAGCAGTGTGAAATGGAGAGATCTGGAAGGTACTCAAACTACACAAAAGCCCTAGTCACCTGCGTGACTGGGTAAAACAGATCTTTTTTGTCAATCCACAAGGTGGATATTGCTGTCAAATCAATTATTTATTAAAAGAATGAACCCTCATACTCCAGCAGACATTCAATGACTTATACAACTTGGTGGAGCAGATTGTGCTCAGGGGACACAGAGAAGGTTTCTGCCTCCATGGGAAGTCGTACCTGAGTCCAAGTGGATTGTGTGACATGGTGACCACAGCGCAGTTTGCCACGGGCTCTGCACATTGAGACCAAGCCTATTAATACACAGATACTAGAGGAGATATACCAGATACAGAGATACCTAATAAGAGAAAAAAATAGTTCAGTCTTGCCACTTAACTCTGGGGAAGTACGTGTAGTTGGCAAGTGTTGAATATAAACCAGAAAATGGGTGGGGTGCAAAGGCAGAGCAGGAAAGGAAATGGGGAACTAAACAGAGGTGGGGGAAGTTGCCTGTGGAGGAAGCTGACTAGGAAGGAGGTTGGGACGGCTACTCAGGGAAGAGATGCCTGAACCAGGAGGATACAGCCAGCAATCTAGTATGAATTCGCTTATAAAAAGTTCTTGTGGATCTCCATGGTCCGTACTGAAGACTGTTGATTCCGTGGCCTGTGCTGGTGTAGAGGGCTATGTTGATCTGAGTGGCCTGTGTTGCCACTGAGGCCATGTTGATGTCCTTGGCTTATGCTGCCATGGAGGGCTATGATGGTGTCTGTGGCCTGTTCAATGGCAGGGGGCAGTGTTAATGTTTGTGGTCTGTACTGCCACTGGGGACCATGCTGAGATACGTGGCATGTGCTGATGCTAGGGACCATGTGAATGTCTGAGGTCCATCTTGTCATCAGAAACCATGTGTATGTCCATGATCTATGTTCACGCTGATGGTAAAGAGCAAGGAAGCTACTTTTGCCATGGTATTAATGACTACAGACTCACAGTTGAGAAGGAGGACATAGAAGACTTTTATGACAACCTCTATGGTGCCCACACCCCCTAAAAATGTAACAGCCTAGACAGAGAGCCATGGAAGAGGACCCTTAAAAACTGTGATAAGGATGCTGAAGTGTAGCTCTCCACAGCTGATGCCTTCTGGGGGGGGGCGGTGTAGGTGGGAGAGGAGCTGGCTCCTGGGAGTTTGACCTTGCTCCAGTCACTATATGGAGAATACAAATTGGGCTTGTTTTCCTTTTTTTTCTTCTTTGTTTTTGGGGGAGGATCACTAGTGTTCGGGAGTAGACCTAGGAAGGTTGAGAAGTGAATATACTTGGGATGTAGAATTCCCAAATAATCAGTAAAGATATTATGGAACAAAAAGGCTCATGTATAAACCAGGTACCGTGCCTTTTTTCTTTTACACATGTGGATGATATCAAAGGTAGCCTGTGTGCCCAGAAGCCAACTGCACCCACTCATTCTCAATTTGCTGATTAAATGAACCACCTTAGAGCTGGAGAGATGGCTCAGTGGTTAACAGCACTTACTGCTCTTTCAGAGGACCTGGGTTTGGTTCTCAGCTCACATGGTGTCTCAAAGTCATCTGAAACTCCGTTTCCAGTTCCGACACACTCTTCTGGCCTTCTTGGGCCCACACGTGGTACATATGCATGCAGTCAAGCACTCGTATAATACATAAAATAAATAAACCTAAAAATATTTTTAGAAGACCCAAATTAACAGTGGAAAGTAGAAAAAGATTTATTCAGTGTGGCCACATTGGAAAGAAAGACAGACATCCAGCATACTCCCTCCCCAAAGTCTATCTTCCAGGTCCTTAAATGAGATTCAAGATTAAATAGCTGGCCAAGGATATGCCACCTCTGCAGTCCTGGTCAAAGTGTGGTCCCGCCCACCCACGTCATTGCCTGGGCTATGCTCTCTTCCTGTAAAGTGGTCTGTCAGGTTATTAGAACTGTGAGAAACGTCCTTCTGGGGAGTCAAGTCACCACCCAGTCTAGGGCCTTTGCTTTCCCTGAGAATAAGATTCCTGAAGAAATCCTTTATCTTCCAGCTGTTTCAGTAGTTTGTTAGATTCAGGACACAAATGTACCCTTTCAGCATCTTTTTCTTTCTGCCAGGCTTGTCACATGGGGACTTGTGGTCCTCCTAACAGTAATACCGAGATAAATGAGGAAACCAAGATCATGAAAAGAAGAGCCTGAGCGTTCATAGCTTTATCTGCATCAGGTGCTGTCAGCAAATTACCTTGTGAGCCTGTGGTTCAACCTTACTGTGGGCCTCCAGTTCGTCATAAAAAGGTAGGAACTGCCCTCTACCGTTGACTCAGCAAATGACAGCCTCACACTTCAGGATGTGAGCTGTGAGGAATGAAGGAGTTGTGCCCGCCAGCTTCAGGGAGTGAGACTAGAGTCTTTGTAAACTGGATAGAGTGTTATTGGTTATCCCACTCAAGCTTGCTTCTGGGCTCACAAATGTCCCCCCTCCTGCAAATCAATAGATATAAGACTGTGGACCCTATTACTTTCATCCTTGGGCTGATGTTCTGGAAACTGCTTTGGAGTTTCAAAAATAAACATTTTTTTCCTTCTAGCTCTTCAAAATTTTAGACTGTTATAATATTATAATATTATAAATATATAATAATTATAATATTAAAAAGACCATTTAAAGAAACATTA